ATTATTATTATTATTATTATTATTATTATTATTATTATTATTATTATTATTATTATTATTATTATTATTATTATTACGTATTATTAATTATTATTAATTATTATTAATTATTATTAATTATTATTTAATTATTATTACGTATTAATTATTTATTAATTAATATTAATTAAGTATTTGATACGTTCATTTTCATTGAAAAAAAATTGTTAAAATAATTTTAACAATGCAAGTTAGATAGTAAATCTGTACAAGATGAGTTTTTATTTTATTGCAGATTATTGAGAGAGTTGAAAAAACTTTTTAATATGTTTATAGATGTCTCATCAAACAACATCATAAACATTGAAAACATTTATTAACAAGAAAAATAAAATTAAAAGATTAGAATGATTGGAAAAAAAAAAAAAACTAAGCTAACCTAACGAACAATCTAGAAAAATTCAACATTGATATTGTCTGTACATGCAATTAAAGATAAAAAAAAAAAGAGCAAAAAAATCAACAAATAATTTTCTTCAGGGTTATAAAAAATTTTCATGATCATATAATCGGTGAGCACCAGCTTCGGCAGAAACCACAACAATCATGGGATCAATGCCAGGTAATGGAAATCTTTGTAATAGTAGATTAGCTTCATTAGCAGCACTTTCACGTATAAGATTTATGGCATAATTATGATTTTGACGTGGATTTAGACCCGTAAGATGATAATTTTCTTCATGTAATTTCACGGCCTATTGTTAAACGATTATGTTAAATATTTAACGTTAAGAGTGATTATGACATTAAAAATATGATACATATACAATACCTTGTATGCGGCAGCTCCGGCAAGGGCAGCAGGTGAAATAGGAAATCGTGGGTCTGGACCATATACGTAGATCTGATTATAATATTGTTCCATTTGAGCTATGTAAGTTTTTGAAAAAAAAAAAAAATAGGACGTAAGTAAGTAATAGTAATTAGTATCGATATGTATGATATAATTTAATGTAAAAAAAGATATATATGAATTATAAAAATCAATGAATTATGAAAAAAGAAATAAACATGAATTATGAAAAAACACACACCAGCATTCCAACCAAA